GGCTAGTCATTTTACACTAGCTTTGCCAATGTTATTTATGAATGGAACATCTAATCCATTTATATCTATGAAATTAGGCATATGATATTAACAAATATTTGAAATTCACAACCAGAATATTTACTTCTTTAGCAATGTAAAATGGCAACAATAATTACAGATAGAGACTTAAGTTTTGCATGATTTTTCCTGCGGTCCATATGCCAATGACAATTCATCTTTTACCCTATCTGAACGGAATATACCGTTTACCTAGAAATGTTAAACTTTTCTTCACTAGCACCTACAAAGGAGTCTCCCAAGCCGGACGCTCTTTCCACAGAGATTATCATTGCCATTGGTGCCGGTGGCGGAGGAGCGGTCCTGTTGATTGTCATCATCGTTACTGTCGTCTGTTTAAAAAAGAGAGAGAAAGCTCACGGGGAATACGCTACAGGTGCGTGATTACATTAAAAGGTTGCTAAACTGATAATAGGAAACTTTGACAGATTAGTGCATCAAGAAAAAGGGTTAGATAAAATTGCTATAGAGTTTGAACAATTCCCGTCCTCCCGAGTTCTCTTTAAATTCTTGATTTTCATCGCTTTATCAGGTTCTGAGCGTAAAAGTCGAAGAAACAAAGTCAACAGTGCTGTAAGTATCTCTACATAGCGTTGCCACATTCATATAAATAGACCTACACAATTGGTATGTGTTTTAACGGCAGCATTTTACAGAATTTCCATGTTAATATAAGATATAACTTTATGTCATTTTATACACCTAACAACATTTTTTTCTGGAATGTATCTTTGTAGACACCGAATGATGAAGACCCCGAGGAGCCAAACACAGAACAAGGGCAACTCCAAGTTAATTTTGACACGGGAACCGTAGAGTACACAGATAAAGGGCAGTCTAACTAGGAAGAAGAACCCCTTTTATTCATTTTTGTACACTTTGTGATTAATTTAATAAATTTCTACGTTAAAGGCAATGCCAGTGGATACCACTAGCCATTAAGAGAATATCTTTTATATTTATATATATACAAGTGGGACAATTACAAACGATATAGTTCTTTTTGCAGAGTACACTGTTTATATGCATAACCTTAGCTGTATATAAATGTATACAAAATTCACCATCATGTTTAAGTAGGGCAAACATTGCTTTGTATACCCATGAAAGCCATGGTGATTAGATTTACTATGTTTTTACCTTCAACAAATCAAGTTTTTAAATATATAAAGAAATATATAAGCTTATTACTCTCGTGTGTTTAGCTTTCTACTACTAAAATTTCTTAATTGGGGGCATGGTTTGTAACATCAACCTGCTTCCATGTGCTTGTATTTCCTCTTCAGTGGAAATTATCAATAACACTATTTTGGTCCATGAGAGGAGATCATAGGTTGAAATTGTAGCGGGTATTATATACATATATTGTTGGTTAAACTATTGATAAACATTTGATAATATTATTTGATTTTGGCCACATTTTCGACTACGCCTTGATATGACTCTTACCGTATCATTGACTGATTACTCATTTCTAATATTAGCCAAGGACACTCTGGTGCAATTGAGTACTTCTTAAAGACATGAGAGGCAGGTTGAAAACCTCAATTAAGATAAGATAAAATTTACCTTGGGATTTTGCAAAGAATTCGATTTAGTGAATCACCAAGCAGTGGTGATATTATCTGTTTTAAGTTCCTCAAAAACGCTTTAAACAATTTTAATAGTTCTTAATATTTAACAATGAAAAGATAAGAAATTATTGTTAAATATTAGCACATGTGTTACTTCCCTGTTGATTGGTTAATTGTTACATTTTATCAATCTGTTTTATGCAAAGTGCGCTTAATATTTACCTTACGGTGTGCAAAAAGACCCTCGTCGAGTGCGCAAGAGCTATTTCATCATGGTATCGTTACATATTTTTTGTTGTAATTATTGTCTTTTCTGCTACATGGATGCATTTTATTAAACTATTTGCATAGCACATAAATGTGGTATTGTCATTATGCTGTGCTGATAAGAACGGTACGAGTAGCAATATGATATATTATTGACAACAAATCTGCATTACCGAAGAAATATGAAACTGTAATCTGGTTTTATTTTCAAAACGAAAAGAAAAGAAACATAACGCTAGGGATTTTTGTGGTTTTCGTCATATAAGCTAGGTAATTTTCATGGAATGTTCTTACTATAGAATAAATAAATCTTATTTATTTAACTTTGGTGTGCTTTTGATTTTGCATGTTTGAAGTAAATGTTTGTCAGGTTTTTCTCAGTGTTGATTTTCTATTCATTCGAATATTTTCATTTAAAGATAAGAACAAACGCCTTTTAACATTGATTCAGTTTTTAAAAGAAAAATATTTATCCGTATTTGTCACCAAAATTCATTATATAATGGTATTTTACCAGCAAAGGATAATAGCTCGGGAAGAAAAGTGCAACGCATTTATTCGGTGTAAAATTGATAAGATTAATATAATATAATATAATATAATATAATATAATATAATATAATATAATATAATATACACTCATCGCGAGATGTTTCATTTAAACGTTTATGAATGAAAATTAAATTGTAATTCATTAAATGACACTCAAAAATACTAAAATGAAGTTGGGCTAAATTATATATTGACAGAGTATCAAGTACAAAAGAGTATCTTTTTGAATTGTTTACATGTAGCAAATCTCTTATTAAAATTTTGATCAAAAATTGACAGATCTCTTTTTTACTTAATATATAGCTTTAGGAGAAAATTAATTTTTTTTTCTTATTTAAAAAATACTATGGTTTGTTTGTTTTTGACCCGACATTTCTTTTTGTCAGTATAAGATTCATCTTAGAGGTTTTATGTTTTATATGTAGTAATATTATAATCAGCACCGAGGCATTTATGGCGCTCTGTTTCAAGAAATAATCACGAATTGAGGGAAAACCACAGATTTCATCTTGATCATTTTGAGATCACTAAAATCATTGATATGGTGTCAGAATAATTTTTAACAATGAATTGCCGTACCAAATAGGGCGAATGCTCGTAAACAGAAGACATTAAACGTGTCACAGAGAGACTGAGTTTCAGTAACACAACAGTACAAAACATTGTTTTCTCGCCCTCAAATTACTACTCACAGTAGTTTGTGTCAATAAATAATATTTTCAACTTGGGAGAGAAGCTACCTTGGATCCTAGGTTAATCTTGCATTCTGTAACAGAATGTGGTTGTAGCACATCAGAGCAAGTAACATTACGCATCGTATTTAAGAAACCGAGAACACCCCCAGTCAATGACCAATGGTGACAGTAAATATGACTTTCAGTAAAAAAGTGTTTAAATATTTTGTATTTGAATATTCTCAGATGAAATATCCTTTTTTATTCAAACCATCGATGACTTTCACAGTATCTCTCCCTTTATCCTGTTCTCAATGTTGCCATAGGCATTCTCTGAGAACCTGTTCAGATCCACGTGGGTGGTCACCTCTTCTCTCAGTAATTTCTCCAGGTGAACAACCAAGTCCTCAAATGTTGGACGACGTCCGGGGTTTTGCTCCCAACACCACGTCATGATCTTGTATCTGTAACATTATTCACATACATTATATTAGAAAACGTATCAAGTTCAAACCTTATTTTCAAGAAATCGAAGTAATGTGTAAAGCTCAGTGATATTTCACATTATATTCCACGTTTTACAGACGTTTTTCTTGACAGAATAGCCCATGCAATACCATGTAATGTAAACCAACATTCATGTACCTACAGCGTGAGATGATTTTTATTAAGATGCTATTGAAAGAATGAATTGTTCTTCACAGGCAGTTTGGTAACATTCATAAACAATTAACTAAAAAAGTGAATTAGGTATTATAACTGATGTCTAGATCTTAAGGGCACCATGTAAAAACTTACAGTTCTGGAGTACAGTGTTTTGGTTTCTCCATCCTGTAACCTTGATCAATTTCTTTCAGTAAATCTCTCGCTGACGCCATGGTAGGATAAGGAGTTGCTCCTGAATAGGGAAGAAATTTACTTCACTTTTATTCTTTTTAAGATAGATAAATAAATTCTGCAGGTAGCAAATGGTATCATGTCAATGTGTCATGAAAGTAGTGACTAAGCTGTAAATTGCAAAAAATATTATAAGTGATACGTTGTTGTGTATCCACATATTTTATGCTGCACGTCGTATTTTACATAAGTGATGAAAGTGGATGAAGTTCATTACAGATAGCAATCCTGTTAAGAAATAAGTTCACGTTGTCATGAAATGGCCATGTATAACTTACCTAGTGTTACAATCTCCCAGAGAAGTATACCATAGGCCCACACGTCACTCTTTGTGGTATATAACTTACCTAGTGTTACGATCTCCCAGAGCAGTATACCATAGGCCCACACGTCACTCTTTGTGGTATATAACTTACCTAGTGTTACAATCTCCCAGAGCAGTATACCATAGGCCCACACGTCACTCTTTGTGGTGTACACACTGTCTGACAGAGACTCTGGGGCCATCCATCTTACCGGTAGGGGGCCCTAGGATATACATGCACACATTATGATATAAATACCTACAACTATATACTCAGGGTTAGGAAAAAGTCATTGAATAATACTAGACTTACCATTCGTAACTTTAAATAATTACATAAGGTAATAAGGTATATGGATTTCAATACAGAAACCAGTCTTAAGGCTGATATACGCGATACTAGTGTTCATATAATTTTACCTACTATAGTTTACCTATCTATATGCAGAAGGCCAGGAAAATACATGTAGCAACAGGATTGCACTATAATTAAGCATCACTTGTAATGAGAATTTGTGTCAGTTTTGATAAAGACCGTTTGTTTCTGGAATTTCATCGTTTGTCCGCATAAGAAATGGAAAAGTTGTGAACGATTAAACATTCCACTACTGGAGAACTAAACTACTGGAGTGCTGACTGCAATTGGCGACGTTGAGACTGATAGAAGACATGTTATGAGAGGATTTTTAACATTTTACGCACTAGCAATTTACTCAGGTACTCCCGACTCTCAATCACATCTCTCGCGAGACCAAAATCTGCCACTTTGCATACACGGGACTCACTGACGAGGACATTGCGAGCTGCCAAATCACGGTGCAGGAACTGGAAGGATCAGAACATGATATCGGTATTGTGACATGTCTTTTTAGAGCAAACAGAAAACAGCAGACTGTTGCTGAAATGAACATCTGATAAGTGTTAAAATTCACTTGCGATATTTTGTAAAGATACACATTTATGTTTTTCTGTTGTTGTTTGTTTATGCATTAAGCAAAAACATGCTTATAGTGATAATCAAATGCGAAGCTTTGCCAGGAATTTTTACAATATATTAGTAACATAATGGCTAATCATAAAAAAATTACAATGCTATATTGAATAAGAACCTGTTTACCAAAACACTTTAAAGGCTCCCTCACAACTTATTTCAGATGTGTCCATCTGAGCATATATTTGACATGAGTTGTATAAAGAGCCTGTAAAATGTATCTGCAAACATTTTGACCAAAGACAACGAAAAATAACATGCCTATGTGAACTAAATCACTGAATTCCATTTCAAGCAAAAAACAAAAATTGATCCATTTGACAAACATGTTACTCGTTAAATTTCAAAATGACGCCTAATTAAGGAAAACCGAATAAGCATTAATATACACTTTTCACTTTTAAATGAATAGGCCTATGTAAAGGTGAACATACAATGTACATAAGTTTTACCTACCCCATATTTCGCCACATGTGACATTCCTCTGGCTACATGTTCAGCAAAAGTGAGGAGGTCTCTGGACGTCAGTCTATTGCTTCCTCCGTGCAGGTTCCCGTAGATATTATCACTGCGGCTGCTACGTAAGAATGTCTTCAGACTCCCATTGGCCATAAACTCAAGGGCAATGAAAACCGGAACTGTAATCGCAATATTGTGTCTCACAATAACATTTGGCAAAAAGTTGCATCTGAACGAATATTGGACATGTATTTCTAGACGAATATCACTGACATTAGTTCTCATTAAATTGGTGCAGATAACTGATGTTCAAAAATATACACAAGGTACAATGCAGTACAAATCCCGTAAAACGATTGTGCTTACTCTTGATCAACTGACCTGATTTTGAGAAACCCAGCACCTTTACTACATTTTCATGTGGCTCTAATGATAGCATGGTGTCTATCTCTTGGGTAAAATCCTTAAGATCGGTTTCAGGGGCATTTTCTGAATTAAAAAAAAAATATATATAACCATACTTTCGAGCTCAATTTTTGTAATAATGTCGAGGATGGTTGACGGGCGATGAGATTTATAACAAAGTGATAAGTACATATTTTTTCGACATGCGCACATGTACATGGTATTTATCTGCTAGATTATGATCAAAAATTGTTACTTGCCCTCAGATAATTGAGCTGCAAACCTTGACAAATTTACTGTACCTTTCAAAAGTTTAACTGCTAAAGTTTTGTCGTTATGCTTGTTATATTCAGCCTTCCAGACTCTGCCAAAATGTCCTTGTCCGATTGGTTGAACCAGTCGAATATCATCTATGCTGCAAAGTGATTTTGTCGCAGCAATTTCCATGTATGCATTCTGCAATAAAAGTGTTTGAAGATAATGCAAATCAATATGTGAGCTGAGAATGGTTCGGAACTTTTCAACGCAAGGAATATACCATAATTGTACAATTTTAGGTTTTGTGGAAAACAAACGAGCACAGAGCGGTCAAAAAGGTTTGGCACTTCTCAAAAGAAAGTGATGCATAGATATCTAAACTGTTATAAAGCAAACTATATTCATAGCTATGATTCTTAGACAGACTAAATGTAAAATAACACTGATTAATTATGACAATTTGATTGTAAATTCCATTTTATCTATTGAAAAATGGCTAAGTTACACTGATTTATAATCATTACCGTTTCATCTTCCATAAATGTTGGCAAGTCATAAACATGCACCTCTTCTTTCGTTCGATGCTGAACTGTCTTTTTTGTAAAAGTTGGACAAACCCTGCCATGTTTACGCTGAAATTAATCACATATGAGTTCAATCAAGAAAACATGTCAGGCATTGCACCCTCCAAACAGATTGATTCCCAAAGAGTCTATTATACCCCAAGTAATTATCAAAAGAGGTTGTTTTGCACAGGAAACAAAATGTCTCCCCACTGAGAATCAGCCAAGTGTTCAGATGAAGGGCTCATACAAAACATTATGGTCTACCTAAAAACGTTTAAAACAGACATTGAGAGACATTCCAATTTGATCTTTATTCTAGTTCTCCACTTCTACCAAAGCAACCACTATTTTAAAAGTGTGTGTCCATGATAGGACCAGTCAGAGGGTGGCAAGGTGGGGGTCAACAGATTTCAACCAAATTCATAATATAGTTGCATACATAGGAGATATTCACATTGAAGGCAACAATCCCAAAAGAAATCATTGGATATAATTATAATATAATATTAAATGTTTTGGCCATTTTTGGCTTGATTTTCAGCTTCGGTCAATAAAGCCACTTCATAAGCAAATATGTCAAAACTGATGACTTTTTAAAATAAATTGATAATTTACCTATTTAAAGCAGCCATTTGCCATTGAGAATATGTTACTTAATTTTAGTTTAACCCACAAACTAACGAGCCACGCCCATTTTTATAAGCCCACCCCCCCAACTCACTTTTCTACCAAGCAATGTTCAAGCATTCATATCTCTCTTTTTGCAGGGTTGACAGCCATAAAATTATACAGGGATCCTGAGCATATATTGGTCTCATCATACAAATTTTAAAAAGTGTGTTAAACACAACAGAAGATATTGAAAAAGTGCCTCAAACATCAGCAATTTTAGCAGAAAACCAAACGACCGAAATCAAGACATCAGTACATTTTGAGATAATACCTTCCAATAATCAAATTTAATCAAAGACTCACAGCCAGGAATTCAAACAATGCTTTGATAAGGGCAAATCAATCCAATTTTTATAAATACAAGATGGCTGCCATCAATTCTGTCCCAAAATACAGTTACCATAATTCCTCAAAATAATCAAGAGGCCCATTTTTGCAGGTTTTTTATTTTGAGATTTTACAGGGTTTCTCAGATAATATTCTTTTCAAACAGAGCCATACAACTTCTGAATAAATTTAAATTATTAGTGACAAGTTATTCAAACAGGAGGAGGAGTACAATGACAGGAGGAGTACTTTATTTTCATATTATCAATTGGACAGTAAAAGAACAAAGCAGTTACTTTTCACAGGAGTGAAATCAAGTTATGAATTTCCAAGGTTCCAATATCACGGTCATCTTTTCCATATACTGAACACAACTGTGATGGGTAGTGTTCCAGAGATTTTAATCTTATAACTTATTGATCCCCAAGTTTCTTCTTCTGGTTGAGAGATCTAGGGTCTCCTTAGACAGTAATGAAAATTCAGCAATCTTAGAAAAAGTGTGGTAACTTGAAGCAACATGCCACTATAGTTTAGTGTGACTGAAGTGTCAATTGTCAATATTTGTCAATCCAATGGAAATCCAATTTGAAATCCAGAATTCCATGATAGAAAGACAGAGTTGGTGCTCACATCTGAATCTGATGAATTTGCCTGTGCAATTTCAGGTGACTCTTCTATTATTATCTGTAAGATTGTCCATGTCAAGGTTCACATCCAGGCCTAGGATGTAAAATCTGAAAAATAAACATAACATCAATAAATGTTTTACAACAACAGAGGCTTACTGTGTTCAGAATAGAAACTACTGTAGCAGGATCAATCTATCTCAGCGGAGTATCACACTCAGGCTCAGTCATTGTAATCAGCTTAATTGTCTGGCACACCCCCTTGCAAAGCAACATGAACAACATAATGGAC